GATACTGTACGGTGATGGCACCGTCCGTTGAATTTTCACAGGGTTTTCATAGGGTTTCCATCAATTACCAGATGGGTTTCTCAGGGTTTTACATCTGGGTCAATAATAGCGACCTCACTGCGACCTCAATGATGGTGAGTAGGGGGAACTATCCCGAGATAGCCGAATGTTTCAGGTTAGTGAATTATTGCAAAATTTGCCAACATGGCGCAGCCGGGAAAATCCATCAGTTCGTTGATTTTCCCAGCTATAAACCTCAAATTAATTCGGGGATTTTCAATAGCTGTGTTTGATTACATGAGGGTAAATTAGCAGTGGCTGCTGAAGCGCTGGTGATTGATGATTATATGGATTTTTTAAATATTGGGGATTGTCGCAACCCATGAACTGGGAAATCCGTTCTTAACCGCCAGTATCAAGGGAGGACAGAGGGTTTTGAATTCCTCACATGGGTTACATGGGCTAATGATAGATGAATAATGATTCACAGTTGTATTGCTATGTATTAATGTTTAGCATACATGGTTATACTGGGATTATAAGTTATAATGGTTCAATATGCTTTTCATGGTTGATTATAACCGCAATATTATAGGGAGATGAACATCCATAAATCCACGCCGTTTTGGTTTTGATTCAGAGAGATTATGATGGACTATATGGTAAGACAATGGAGTTATGTAGCTATGTCTGAACATGTGGGATGCCCAAAATGGCATGTGTTGAATTTGGATTTGGGGTACACCCCATGTGTTTATTTTTTATCCAAGTGCAAGACTTGGGGTTGAACAAAAGATGAGTCTGAGAATGTGTGTGTGTGTGTCGATGATCGAGTGGCTGATTCTGCAGCGAACAGTTGGACAAGTCATGATGGTAACGCCCAGGTTGCCTGCAGGATAGCCCAATGCCAGCAGGCACTCTTCTTCCATCCCCAGGCCACCAAAGCGCTCAGGCTCCGAGCACAGATGAGAGAGGAGCCTCCAGTCAAGAAGTCCATCCAGGAGAAGATGGAAGAGGAGGAAGGCCTCCAAGTGATTCAAGCCATGCAGGAAGGGGCCCAAATGCTTTCGCAGGAAGAAGCCAGAGGAGCAGAGGTCCTTCGCCACCTGAGTATCTCCAAGCTCCAGGGCTACCTCAAGAGCACGAGGGAGACTCCAGCAGTGATGCATGGCAGCAGATTGCCATGGCTCAGACCAGCCTCTCAGAGGCCAAAGCAGCCAACAAGGAGTTCCAGGAACAGGGGCAGCACAAGCGCAAGATGCTCCGCCCGGCGGTCAACGAGGTGGATGGTCGGCTGAGTTTTCGGCCATGTTTTGACGTGGCAAACCAGACGTGCAACTAGTGGCATCCTTTTCACATGTTCCAGTTGAGTTGCTGAAATGAGGGAATCCAAATGGAAAAGGAAACCCCTTTGGCAGCACTGGTGGTAATCTACTGTAGCTTGCCATATATATATATACGTATTTTTCCAAGAGGCACGATGAAGCTTCGCGCTGCGGCCTGTCTCATGTTCTTTGAATTCTAAGCAAATGAAAAAGATCCAGCCAGCTATCTTTGTACGTAGTCAGCTCCAATGCTCTCACCATAGGCAGTGACATGCATGCGTTGGCATGTGTCGAGGAAATCTGCTGGTGGTTCAGGGGCGCCCCTGACGACCGGTCGGGCACTAGTGGCCTGAAACAGATATATAATATATAATATATAGTATATATTATATTGTATTATATTATACTATGTTATATTATATTATATTTTATTATATTTTATTACATTATAGTTTATTATATTATATTATAGTATATTATAGTATACTATAGTATATTATATTATATTATATTATGTTATATTATATTATATTATGTTATATTATATATTATATTTATTATATAATTATATATATACATTAATATATATATATATATTTACAATATATAAATATATATATACAATATATTAATATATATATACAATATATTAATATATATATATATATTATATATAATAATGTTATCATGTTTTATCACATCTCAAAGTATATCTGACGTGTATGTGTATATATATATTATCTATGTAATCATATATATACACAAATTCCATGCCAAAGTTTAACAACTTTTGTCAACAAACGCCATGCCCTGACGCCGAGGAAAGTCCAAGCGAGCAGTTGCGAGACACAGCCCGCGCAAGACCTAGGTTTGTCCGCCTGGATGCCTAGCAGTTACTCGTACCCTGTAGGTTACCCTCTGGTTAACAGTTCAACCCTGAAAATAGCACGGAAACTAATCTGGAAACTAATCTATCTGAGACCTCTATCTGCCAGGGTGAATTTGTGAATTTACCAGAGAGGGGATTTTGAAGCATAAAATTCATTAAACAGATGGCTATGTAGTTGATAAGTGATGCTTTAGGATTTGTTTGGGTGGTTAAACTAGCTAATATATTGGGAATTGTCGTAATCCGCGATGGAAATCCCAATTGACCACGCAGTACTGGTCAGTTCTGGGAAGAATGAGGGGCTTACCCAGCAGCCAGCAGCAATTCTCGGTGAACCAACTGGATGTGTTACGGTTTTAAGCATCAAAGAATAGGGGGGTTCATCGAAACAGTAGAACTTCCAGGCCTTCCAGAAGCTGCTACTATCAACACAAATGGGAATGTAGCATGATAGAGAGTTTAGTACTACTATTACCTATAGCCTTTCTTCGTGATATTTTGCTATTTTGATACGGATGCATTAACCCAACCCGCGAAAACTGTTCTTTTGTTGCAGGGGCGCCTCTAAGGTTGACATGTTCACCTGTGGAAAATCGCAAGCTCCAAACACCAAACGACTTGGACAGGACGGGTCAACTAATTAATCAATCCATTTGTAGGTTGGTTTTGTAAATCCAATCACTATAGTTATATCTGCTATAAACATGGTTATAAACATCTATAAACTATAGCTATGGACCAGTTGTGGAGTTGTATTTACCAACTGAACGCTATGGTTTGGGGCCCCCCCACCTTATACCTAACTTGCCTCACCACCTGGGGTCACCATTGGATGCGATCTTGGTGGGAATCTTGAGCAACGCCCTGGTCTTGTGTTTGACTCATGTGGGTCTGTCTGAAAATAGGGAATACCCATACTGGTTGGTGGTTTCAAACATTGTTTATTTTCCATAATATATGGGATAATCCTTCCCATTGACCAATATGTTTCAAGATAGTTAAAACCACCAACCAGCATAAAATGGCCATTTGAACACAGCTGATGAAGCCGTTGTTTTTTTGGGATACTCTATTTTTAGACAGACCCATATCATGTTCAGTGGTAGGGTCATTATATATCTATATTATATATATGTATATATAATTTAGATATATATATATAATATATAGATTCATATATATATAATATAGATATATATGTGTATACATATGTATGTATGTATATATAGCTTCCATGTCCAATTGCGTGCCAAACATGGATCATCCATTTTCCCATGGCAGCAGCTGGATTCCCCCAACAAAATGAGGCGCCGAAACCGTGGGTTTCCCGAAAAAATGCCCATAGACGATATTTTTTTAGTTATCTACCTCTAGATGAATGCTATCATGCTAGATGATTTAGCATGTTTTCTTGATAATATGTATATATATATATATAATTATATATATATATATACTTATATGATTCTATATCATATCTTGGATATACACACATCCTAACCAAACTACGTAAACCAAGGCCTAGTTCAAAATCGGGCCGAGGCTTGGCCGTATGCGCAGATGGGTCCGGCTGGTTATGCTCCACCCAGCACACGAGTCGGGGGCCGAAGAGAATGGGTCAAGGTGGGATGTTCATCTGCAAAGATGTAGACTTTGCCCGCAAAAAATAGTTATTTAACATGATTTAACTAGCAAAAATGGTGTGAAATGCTGGACTTTTCCCAAGAAAAATGCTGATTTATCTACAAAAAAATGTGATGGAACTGAAACAATACTGGTGACTTTACATTGTGTCACCAAGGAAAATGACAAAAGATGTGATTGTTTACCACGGTTTTATTGACATGTTAGCAACAAAGAATGAGGTTTCAACAGAACCAGGCTCCCCACTGATCGATCATAGATGGATTGGTTAATCCATTGGGACTGGAATTATGAACTAACCTGTAATGGGAAACGAATCAACTAAATAATGAGTATTTCATTTGAGATAGGGGTAAGCTCAAATGGTTCAGATTGATGTCACCAATTTTTTTGTTCGCACCATCTGATCATCTTTGAAGACCTTCCGAAGACCTTCCGCTTCGGCTGCGGCTTCGGCTTGGCACTGAGTGCCGTGGCCGACGGATTGCGACGCCCTTTGCTGCGCTTTTCTCGATCGTGACGCCAGCTACCGTTCGGGCAATCACGCAGGGGTCAGCAGAGGCTGGCCACATGTCCTTTCGGAGATTTGATCGGAATCCTGGGGCAAAATCGATGGTGCCTCCATTGGTGATTGTAAACTATAGCCTTTGGTAATCGAACACGGCTGGAAAAATATTCATTTATAGAAGATGTTCTCATTCAAACCTCAATATTTACTCATTCAAACCTCCATATTTATCAAAATCGCTTTCCTAGCTTTTGATATAAAACCAAAGAGATCCAAAGAGTACGTATACTAATTAGACACAGGAAAAACCCCAGCATCAGCCTTTGCGTTTGGTTTAGGATAGGTGAGATCGCTGGGCTCTGCCATAGTATTGCAGGCCCCGAAGCTGAAGCTTCAAATGTTGGTCATTTAAATCCCCTAAAGTTGCACCAAAAAAACCACCAAAGGTGGCACCCAGAAAACCACCGCTATGGGCGTTCTGGGGATCCTATGTTTCTTAAAGTTGTTGCCTTCATGAATTTCCCCCCAAAAAAATCTGTGGCTTCATCATTCATCTCAGAATTTGTTCAAACTCTACAGTATTTGGGGTTAGTGATATTGGGGTCTAAACATGTCTAAACACCTCAGAAGGTACTTGATTAACTAGGCTTTCTCGTGGCTTTTGTTCTACACTTAATGGGGATCATAAACCAACAAACAGAAGTATGAAGTATTAGTGATATTAGTGTGCCCTAATTGCTAATTTTCATAATCTAAGGGGGGTTCAGGCCGATTTGGAATCTTATTTGGGGGCAGTAGCGCATCCATCGAACAAATTCTGCCGGTGGCCCTAAGTGAGATAAAGAAGATCAAGATATGTTATGGAAATCAAACATTACACATTGCATTGGGGGAGTATGGAATTTTTGGTTTTCAGCATTTCAGCTGTAGAAAATACTGGTATTTCTGATGTTCTTCAAATCTTAATTGGATTCCAAACTCCAAACATGACAACCTCGCATGGCCTACTGCAATCTGAAGTCAGAGGCTCATTATCCAAGGAACAGAAACGAACAACTAAATTTTGAATAGTTTGTGCTGCATGTGCAGCTGGACAATTAAACTCTAGGGGCTGCAGCAAGAACTTTTCAAGCGTGGCGTTTGTGTGTCATGTGCCGGGAATTATCTAGAATTGAATAGCAGCAGTAACAGCACAGGTTGGTTTGAATTTGTTCAACCGTTGTCACTTGGGCCATGCCGATTTGGGCAACCGGAGTGGATGACTTTGCCAAGCAAGTCAGCGAGCGGTGCGACAAAATCTATACCAACCTTCTGGCTAGCGCGCGCCCAGTTCTCGAACATGGTACGGAAGCAGAAGAATCTTGATCGCATAATAAAGGTCGCAGCCAGCCAACCAACCAAGCAACCAACCAAATAAACAACAAACCTATAATTAGATATTATTTAATATTGATGTTATATATATACTATACATATCATATAATATTATTTATATAATATATATATAATATTCACTTGTGATTTCACTTTGAAGCTTTCTGTTGCACAGCGGCAACAGCACTCATGCCACTGCAGTCACTTCGCCATGTTGTTTTCTTGTGGACTTTTCAAGGTTCTAGATTTAAGACCATAGGTGTGTGGAATCAGTAATACTCACTGGGACTGGGAGTGGGACATGCAAAAGCAAGTAATTAGTTAGTAGGACGCAGAAGGAGGTAGTAAGAGGCAGGAGGTTTAGGTGTAGTTGTAATTGTAGTAGTAGCAGTAGTAGTAGCAGTAGTAGCAGCAGCAGCAGTAGTAGTAGTAGCAGCAGTAGTAGTAGTAGTAGAAGCAATGGTTAGTAAGTAGTTCAGAATTTCTGAAGCTTTGAAAAAGTTTTGATTTTCTGGAACCTGATTTGTAATTAGGAATTTGGATGCTGTATTATATCATCCGATTGTGTCTCATGACTTGACTTGAGGTGGTGTTTTTCCGGGATGCTGTCTTGAAGCTGGTCGAGATGATGCAGGCGCTCTTTTGGGGACGTTCGCTTTACTTGACCGTTTTACTAGTGAAGCGGCGCGCCGCATCATTTCATGCCAATGCCGATGCCATTGTAGTGTGGCCGTTTCTGGGATCCTTGATTCCTGTACTGTAGGTGCAAGTGCAGCCAGTCAAAGATAGTGTCCGTGAGTCACTCCGTCCCTGCGTGAAGCAACTTGGTCAACGAGGAGGTAGACCAGCTTTCTCTCTGCTACAATTGTATCAGTGCATGACTTTGCTTCTTGGCTTAGTTTGCTGATTGGCATTGGCATTGGGCACATTTGCATCGAGTAGCCAAGTGCCGTTTCCCGCTTGTCACCAAACACAGCGCCGACTCATTCAACTAATTCAGACTCAGATTCAACTTGATTCAACCGATACTTTTTCGTCCTGAGACTGAGGAGTGTGCAGCTGCGCAACGCATCAAGGTTCAACCTCGCTCTCTCAACTGCTATGCAGCTGGTGTTGGCTCCAACTGTCGGTGGGTTTGACCAGATGCAGATTGTGCCCTGTGCCAAATTTTGGCGTTGGGCCAAGTAAACCCTACACTTAAGCATTAGCATTGTAGCAGTACACACAGGACACAGGACTGAGAATCAAGAATCCAGTTGGTTCTATGATATTATATGCTTATTATATGTCTATTGATATTGATTGGTTGATTTCACTGTTTGATTCTTACTTCTTCAAGGAACCAACAGATCCCAAGTCAACACACTATCACTGCGACTCATTTTGACGGTTGTATTTTGTTCTTATTTTTGGGGGGTTAGTTGAAGTTAGTTGTTGTGACATTGTTGTGGTTCTGATTTTGGCACAAGTTTCGCATCTACTTCCCAGGCAGATGGGGAGACAAACATCTCATGCGGACCAAGCGGGCCAACTCTAACAAGAGCAAGGTGCAAACTGGAAGTCATGGAGATGTACGCGCGAAGATGGTTCTGGAAGTCGAATGGCTATAGCAATGTCATTGTTAGTTTATGCCACAACCTTAGCCTTAGTGCCATGTTTGTGTGCCATGCTGATGTCGTCTCTGGTTTTCAACGGGGTTTGTAATTGTGTTGTAACTAGTTGCATTGTGTTGTTGGTATTTGTATGTAGTCTTGCAGTCTCGCTTGCCAGTTTGATTTGGAAGCTGAATGACTGAATGCTAGCCGCAATGCTAGCCGCAATGCTAGCCAAATCAAACCCGAAACTAAAGAGCAAAGAGTAAAGAACATGTTGCATTGCAATTGCATGTTCCGTAGTTCCGTCATTCAATTCCTTTCAGTAACCTGACACGAAGCTAATAGCTGCTAGGCTATGATGCTACGAAGCAAGGGAAAGAACTTTTCATCACTGAAGAATGGTCAACGAGGACAGTATTGCAGTTTGTAGTTTGGTCATTGCAGGTATTGCCATGTCACTGCCGTCACTGCTGTTTGCATTCTTACATCCAGCTTAATGTACGTAACAGTTTTCACTGTTGTTGTTGTTGTTGTTGTTGTTTGTTGTTGTTGTTACATTGTTGTACATTGTTGTTGTTGTCGTTGTTACATTGTTGTTGTTGTTGCTGCTGCTGTTGTTGTTGTTACTGTTGGTTGGTTGGTTGGTTGGTTGGTTGGTTGGTTGGTTGGTTGGTTGGTTGGCGGGTTGGTTGGTTGGTTGGTGGGTGGGTGGGTTGGTTGGTTGGTTGGTTGGTTGGTTTTGTTGTTTGTTTGTTTGTTTGTTGGTTGGTTGGTTGGTTGGTTGAAGGTTGGTTGGTGTTGTTTTTGTTGTTGTTGTTGTTGTGGTTGTTGGTTGTTGGTTGTTGTTTGTTGTATGTTGTTTGTTATGTGTTGTTTGTTGTTTGTTTGTTTGTTTGTTTGTTTGTTTGTTTGTTTGTTTGTTTGTTTGACTGATTGTTTGTTTGTTTGTTTGTTTTAGTTAGTTAGTTAGTTAGTTTGTTAGTTAGTTAGTTAGTTGTAGTTGTAGTTGTAGTTGTTGTTGTTGTTGTTGCTGCCGTTGTTGTTGTTGTTTTGGTTGTTGGTTGTTGGTTGTTGGTTGTTGGTTGTTGGTTGTTGTTGTTGTTGTTGTATTGTTGTTGTTGTTGCTGTTGTTGTTGTTACATTGTTGTTGTTGTTGTTGTTGTGGTGGTGGTGGTGTTGTTGTTGTTGTTGTTGTTGTTGTTGTTGTTGTTGTTGTTGTTGTTGTTGTTGTTGTTGTTGTTGTTGTTGTTGTTGTTGTTGTTGTTGTTGTTGTTGTTGTTTTTGTTGTTGTTGTTGTTGTTGTTGTTGTTGTTGTTGTTGTTGTTGTTGTTGTTGTTGTTGTTGTTGTTGTTGTTGTTGTTGTTGTTGTTGTTGTTGTTGTTGTTGTTGTTGTTGTTGTTGTTGGTGTTGTTGTTTGTGTTGTTGTTGTTGTTGTTGTTGTTGTTGTTGTTGTTGTTGTTGTTGTTGTTGTTGTTGTTGTTGTTGTTGTTGTTGTTGTTGTTGTTGTTGTTGTTGTTGTTGTTGTTGTTGTTGTTGTTGTTGTTGTTGTTGTTGTTGTTGTTGTTTTTGCTGTTGTTGTTGTTGTTGTTACATCATTGTTGTTGTTGTTGTTACATTGTTGTTGTTGTTGTTGATGATGTTGATGTTGATTGTTGTTGATTGTTGTCAATCAATTGATTGATTGATTGATTGATTTGATTGATTGATTGATTGATTGATTGGTTGTTGTTGTTGTCGTCGTCTTGAGTCCTGAGTCTTGATCTTTAAGAGCCGTAGCGCCAGTACCAGAATCAGAATAGAGCCACCTCACTGGCCGCTGGCCGTTTCATTCAGGAGCGGTGATTCTGCAAACGATTTCAAGATGCTGCTCAAATCTCTCGTTGCAGAAGATGACCTAGAAGCCATTGAGGGGGAAGGGCCAGCCGTTCCATTTGGCGGATCTCCGCTTGTGACGGATGAGCGGGTCTTGCCAGTGATAGCTATGGGGAAGGGTTCTTTGGTAGAATTTTTTCGCAGATGCGCGGACTGACCCACACGTCACACACACGGACACAGCTGAAACCACTCACTTTGTCATTGGCTGTTTGTTTGACTTTGACTGTTTCTCTTACAGTTGCAGTTTCGTTGAGTGGAGTTGAGTTCTGAAAAATGCCTCCGCCAACTCAGACTGAGGCTTCACAGCTTTTGTCAACAAGATTGATGCACTTCTCTGGGTTTTATGCCTTGAAGTCAACACTGGGGACGTGCAAGATTGCATTCGGCAATATGGGGAAGCTGTGATTTCGAATCTCAGCGATCAGGGACTCTTTGATTTGCAGTATATAATTTGGGTGGCTTGTTAATTTGGGTGGCTGATTGATTGGTTGCGTAGGAAGCTGGCTGGCCCACTGAGGAGTGGAGTTAAAGTTGGCAGACGCAGTTCACGTCAACATGAAGGAGCTTGCCAATGACGCGTCAAAAGATCTTGCAGAGTTCCATTCTGCACCATCTCATCGCGAGCGTGAGCTTCCCTTGGTCGATCTCTGTTCTGATTCAGAGCCAGATGCACCAGCAAGATCATTGACAAACAAGCTCAGGATCCGCAGCGATGCTTTAGAAGATGATGTCATGCCACGTCCGGTTGCTGCTGCAACTGCGGCAGGCCATGGTGTCACCCTGCATGGTGTCGCACCGTCGGAGGAAGTCAGTGCAGTTCAGCAGCAGCGCGCTGAAGCATTGTTTCCGAACAGCTTCAAAGTTTCTGGTGTGAAGCATGTCGCAGACAATTTGCTGGGCTCTGTCCTCACATCCCTTCCGCAGTTTCTTAACTCAACTTCAGCAAACATCATATCATCAGACAGTGACATGGACATGGTACAAGTTTTTATATTGTGTCCCTTGTGTGTGCATGTGCCATGTGATTTCAGGCTAAGTAATCTGAGGGGCTGCTGGATCCAGGTCATTAGGTGATAGTTGGTGCAGTGCCCCAACCGCTTCCAAACTTAGGTGGACGCTCCTGCTACCGAAAGTGCAATCGCTGGGCTTGTTGCTTTCCACCATCACATGGAGGGAACGGTTTGTTGCAGTTTGCATGAATGACCGAACGATGAAGGAGCGAAACCTGATACTTTTGTGGGCTGGAGATCATCTAGGCGGTTTGAGATGGGAGGCAATTTCAAATTTTTGCAGAATGGCAACTTGCCAGCCGGCCAGCACTGGGCCAGCACCATATGTTTTTTTTGTTATGCATGCTTGGTTGGAAACATTGCGGATCAATTTTCTGGTCAGTTTGTAGTCTGCAGTGAATCAATTCTGCAGGTACTTCCCTTGCAAAATCTTTTGCGAACATGCTGGAATACCCAGCGCTACCTGCATGCATCGCCGGACACTGACAAACCGTTTTTGGTTGAAGATGGGTCACGCGCTCACGTACAGAGAATCTCGGAACTCATGACGTCCAACTACGATTGGTCTACGATTTCGTTAGTTGCACTTTTGAGTGCAGAATGCGACCTGATTGGACAATGGAGTGAAGGATGCCCTTGCGACAGTCACCAGCAAGCTCCGACAATTTCAAAGAAGCGATCGGGGCAAGAGGTAACACGAGGACGCAATCCACAATCTTCTTCCTGCCCATTCAAGTGCTGCAGGGCGCCAGAGCTGGCAACTGGAAAGGCAATGCTGATGCAGTCTTCTTACATGGGCGCACACCAGAATGAGTTCAAAAAGTGCTTAATCTCAGCGCCAGCTGCAAACCGAACAGAGTTTATTGGAGCGTGGGAGAGAGCGACTTCGAGACTCTTTGGATGCTTGGAATAACTGAATCTTTAGGGTTGCAGTGGCAGCGAGCAACAAACAAGTTCATTTCACTTCAACCGATTCTATAGCCAGACTCACCCAGTTTTGAAACATCTTGAATCTGAACCTTGAACTGTTTTCGACCATTTCTTGGCACTCTTGGTCGTTTCAGGACAGTTGTCAGCCAAGCTGGCACACTGGAGGGAACTTCCATGGGTATTGTGCAAGAGGCTCAGGCTCAGATTTAGAATTCAGAATGACATTGACACTGACACGGCTGACAAATTGGTTGGGGTTTTGGAAAATGAGAGTGTGTCCGCGCTGTGTCACATGACCATGACTTAGGCGGCATGGCGTACCCAAGTTTTGCAGAAGTACAACGCGTTGCAGCGCACTGCTTGAAGTTATTTGGCCGGAACCCAGAAAGCCCAGGGGCGCAGCACGCTCAGTCTCAAAGGTTTTTGAACCCTCACTGGAAGGGGTTGCGGCCTGAAAGCAATGATCCCTCTAAAGACCCACCGCTACGTCTTTTGATGGAGAGTATTGCATGTGGGGAAACGACTTTGGCTGATTATGTCGACGATGAAAGCCCGCAAGCAATTAGTCTGCTGCGCTGGGTGTCTGCATTCCGTCACGTGGTAGCCTCAAATTTGTACCAAGTGTCACAAGACATCACAAGACAATCAGTGTTGCGAGTGTTGGTGGTGAGCAATGATCAAGGTCAGGATTGCGGAACGCTCCGTGGAGGGCAGGCACTCTCTGATCCATCGAATTCGCAAGCGAGCACCTGCAGGGTCCATTGCTTTTACCTCTTCAGAAATGAGATTTCGGCAGCTGCAGAAACTAGCAGCGACCAACCCACAAGCAGCTTGGGCTTTTGTAGTGTAGCGTAGTGTATGTGAATGTGGGTCAATTTCGGGTCAATAGTCCATGGGCCAATATTATTTAAAACTTGGTGTTACAATGGTGTTGCGTTGAGTACGAGTTTTCAATAGACTCAGACTGGCCAATTTGAAACGAAAAGCCGTTTGAATTTGGAGCCGCAATCTTATGCGATGGTGAGCACACACACACTGACCTAAAATTCTTGTTTTTTTTCTGTCGCTTGCACATTGCACAGCGCATTGTGCGGCCACCACAGCATTGAGGCCATGCAAGCAGTCCAACAAAGACTTTCAGGACTCGAAACATCAACAGGGTTCCAGCGAGCGGTGATGTGTCTTGGTTGCTATGTGTTTGTGTGCGACATGCAACACGCAGCAGAATACGTTGAATGTCGATAATGCTGATGCTTTTCATGCTGATGTCACTGCGTCACTGCACTCTTGATTCCCGATGCTGTTTCCTATTGATGTTCTGCTTTGACCGAGGGCACTTCTCAATTTGCAAGAAGCAGCGTGGCCATATGTTTCTCAGTTGGGTATCACGGACGCTGCCAAACTCGTTTATCGAGACCACATCAAGATGAAACACTCAAGCAGAAAGAGACTGAAAACAGAGGTTGAAGGAAAGATGCAGTTGCCACCAAGGGCAAAGTTAGCTAGGTCAGCTTCGCAGCCATGCATTGAAAATCAGCAGCATTCAGCCAGTGGCGATGAAGCGGCTAAAGGAACAAACATCCTTTCAAAGTTGCTGATGGCGTATGTTCTGGAGGCCAGGGTGTTTATATATGTGGAGCGAGCGTCAGTCTATGAGCCGCTGAGTTTTTGATTGCTGTCTATGAGCTGCTGAGTTTCTATGAGCCGCAGGTCACAAAGCGGAAAGCGACAATGTTTTGCTGTATGAACCTGAATGCCTTCAAGAGCTGCAGTTGGAGAATGTCAACTGCAAGCCGTGAGCTAAAGAGTCTCTTGCTCTTGCACAGAAAAATTGGAAACCTGTTTTTGATAGCGTAGGTCGTAGGCCGTATATGCCGTATGCATATAATTACTCGCTCCTTTGTACCAACTTGGTTCTGTTTCCCACCTATGATTGCCAAACGGGTCTCAGGTAAGTTCAAAGAGGTGGACGATGACCGCCCAAGTGGCAGCATTGTTTTGTGCGGCGAACGCAAAGCCACTGCGCCGACCACTGCGCTGTCACAGGGCATTCCTTCCTTGGATGGGCAAGTATTTTTCAAGCCTGTCTCCTCCAATTTCGCGCACCTTACCATCATGAGCGAAAACATTGCTTCGCAGGAGTTTGATTTTTTGGCGCAGGTGAGTGCAGCATCATGCGTGGAGCAGCAACTTGGTGACATTCCGGCCGTGGTGATTGGTCCACAACATGGCCCACCGCTTGCTTGCAAGTTGTCCTGTTTAAACTACGATGAGCTGTCCAGAAATCTTGCTTTTTGGGAATCGTCCGAAACGACGTTCCGTGTGCTGCGACCCATGTGCCTCAGCCAAGCATTCAACATGTTGTTGCACCAAACGATTGCTCAATGTGCCATGTGCCATGTATGGCAGTGTTTCCATTGCTGAATGCTCAGTGGTGCTGGTCCTGGTGCTTATTCTTGTTCTCAGTCTTGTTTAGGACAGCGGCTTCAGCAGAACTGTTGGAAGATATGGCGAATGCAGGTGCGTTTGCAAGCGAACAGCGGTCATACTTTGTTGACCCTGCCCAAGAGGGTTTGGAACACTTACTGCAAATGAAATGGGCACCTTACTTGCTGCATTCGGGTTTCAAGTTTTAAAGAACCAACATTTGTTAACGCGAGTCAGTTCCGTTCAATCCACATAAGTCACTGCCTTGCCTTGCAACTTGCAACTTAGGTAACTGAAGGGCCACACTTGGATCATTTTTGGATTTCGCACTCTGGGGGCACAATCCTGGAAGTCGCACAGCACTGCAAAAGAATTTGCAGGGTCGATCTGTTCAGATTGCATCCTCCGCAGAACGCAGCGAACGCAACTTTCAACGAGTTTTCCACATTCGAGATGTTTCTGGAACTTTGTCATCGGGGGTGGTCATATGAACAAAGAAAATCATCCAGGAAAAATGATCCAATTTACACTCCTGGTGGTCAGAAACTGTGGCTCTACAACAGGTCAATCTCCAGGCACTACTTGCAGGTTCTACTGCAATCGAATTTGTTGTTTGCAGCAGGCCTGGAAGCAATCTATCACCACCAGCCATCCTCATATTACAAGGCGTTGCTGAATGTGAAGCGGGACAAGAGGAGCTTGACTAGTGTGAAACCGAGGCAACCATTGAGTTTTTACAAATTGCTGCAACAAAAGGAAAAACATGGAAAAAACAACAGAAAAGGTCAAGCTGATCAGCCAGCCAGAATGGATCTTGACACCGATGAAGTTGAAATCCAACCGTCCATACCAGGCAGGGCTAGCAGACCGTGGGGCCCAATTGAAAGTTGGCAGTTTGCATGCAATGTCGTTGCCACTGTGTGTAGCCTTTTGGTTGCAGGTCATGGCAATGGTCATGGCAATGGTCGTGGCCATGGCCCTAGTCTTGCAAAACTGCCACAGCCAAAGTCGCGTCGTGGGCGTGGTTGTGGTCGGGGTCGGGCGGCCCCACGTTTGGAGCCGGGAAGTGGGGACAAGAAGGGAAAGGAGGATGATGGTGACAGTGACAGTGAGCATGATGATGGGGTAGCAATTTCTTCCAGTGATGAAGAAAGTGGCCACAATAGTGGCAGCTCAATTTCGGAAGAGTCTGAATTCAATGCAGAATCTGCTTCGGAAGCTGAGGAATCAGGTGGTATAGCTGAGGAACAAGCCCAGCCCCAGCAAGGTGTGACAAATCCCGATGGTGAGCGGTCCAGCCGTGCCAAGCCTGCTCATCGTCTACCAGTTCCAGCAAGGGGTGCCCCGAGCTCACGGTGGAATTTGTCCACCGTGTGGGTCGGAAATATTTCGATTGTTCGGAGAGATGATCAGCGTGTGTAGGGCTCAGCTTCAAAGTCGGCTTGAAATTTGATTTGAGTAGGTACAGGTTACAGGTCCAGGTTGATTTAGTAGGGTCAGAGTCAGATATCAGAATGAAATTGTTCTTGCAGTTGCAATGCCGTGTCTATGTATTGCAACAAATCTACTGTACTTAGGTGCCATCATGGTATGTCGTGTGCCCGCTTCATTGCACACACCGGACATGCACCAAAAGTATGTCGGAGGGGCATGGTGGTCAAGAACTGGTGATCCGACGTCTTTTGCACTGGCTCCTCCAAGGTAGGGACAAGGATCGACTGGGGGGTAGACATAGGACTTAGACTGCCTTTGCTTTGTTTCCCCATTGGCATGCCTGCGGCAGGTTTCCACATCCAAAGTGTGCCGGGCGAAACTGCAGAGAACTTGCGTTGGCGACATGTGCATGAAGTGGCGCCTGTTGCTGCAACTTGCAAGTTTTGAAACGCATGCGGCATTCGTGGAGTTACTGACTGTTACTTTCTCTGCTGTATAACAAATTGCCTTTCCTACTGCTGCCTTTTAAATTGCATATTAATTCTCGGATCCCTTTCTGCTTCCAAGGAGATACCACAAGAAGAGGAGTTGCTGGGTGATCGCATCTCCTTGATTGAGCAGGTTGAATTTCAGTGCAGGGCCAGAGGCCTTTTGGGACCGCAGCCCAATGCCTGATTCCAAACAGCATAGGTCACAGCTAGTCCAATTCACGTTTCTATGTGGGGATCAGATCATTTAGACATTTGCCGATACCAGCATTGGCCGACGGACAGTCCAATTTCGAAGATCTTGTGACAAAAAGCCAAAGTGCCGCTGCGATTGCAATTCAAATCGCATTTTCCGTATAACACAAAACCACCTAAGTTTTGGGAACCTCAAAAACATGAGGGGCTTTGACACATTGAACATGTAGGGAAAAAAGGAAAGTTGGAGTTGGAACTTTATTATTTTGGACAACTCCATGCCACAAAGGGGTTTAAGTTTTGACACTTTCAAAAAATAAAGTTCCAAAAATTTTGGAACTTTATTTTGGGGAACCTCCAAAACACGAGGTGTTTTGACAATTTCAAAAATAAAGTTCCAAAAATTTTGGAACTTTATTTTGGGGAACCTCCAAAACACGAGGTGTTTTGACAATTTTAAAAAATAAAGTTCCAAAAATTTTGGAACTCTATTTTGGGGAACCTCCAAAACACGAGGTGCTTTGACAATTTCAAAAATAAAGTTCCAAAAATTTTGGAACTTTATTTTGGGAACCCCGAAAACACGAGGGGTTTTGATAATTTCAAAAATAAAGTTCCAAAAATTTTGGAACTTTATTTTGGGGAACCTCCAAAACACGAGGGGTTTTGACAATTTCAAAAATAAAGTTCCAAAACATTTGGAGCTTTATTTTGGAAACATCCAGAACACGGGGTTTTGCAGCTTCAGAAGGCTCCAAGGTTTTCAACGAATTCGTTTTCTATTTGAACCGAATCTCGGATTGGTTTGGGTCTGGGTTTGGGATTTTGGCGTTCTTGCGCTGGTGCTCGGGGAGGAAAATTGTAAGATTTAGGGAAATGCAGGATTCTGTTTCTCTGCGCGTTATTGGTCCAATGCCCTGACAGATCAGAAGTGTTTGCATGTGCTGATTTCCTGATTCAAGCACCGCACAGAGCTGTTGGGACAAGCTCTGGCCAGGTAGAGCAGTAACATGTTTGTAATTCAGAGGCAACATCACGGAAAAAAAATAAAGTTCCAAAAACTTTGGAACTTTATTTAAAATTCCCATGTGCTATGTATAAAATGTGCTCTATAGACACCAAATCTAGGCTTCATACTGGAAAACATAGTCAAAAATGGCTACTTTTTGACTATGATTTCTGACATTCATCTCTGGTTTTGAGCCCAGACAGCAATTTTTATACATACTACAATGGGATTTTAAATAAAGTTCCAAAATTTTTGGAACTTTATTTTTTTCAGGAATTTTAATCCCGAAGCAAGGAATGTTAGTGTAGTGTTAGGTTTTCTGGTGTTCAATAGTTTTTGTAGAATCAATTGCAGGGACAGCAAAAGGTTGAAGCCATGGCAGACTCTTCGTCATCTAGCACAAACTCGAGCTCTCCGTTACAGCGGAGCAGCTCAACATCAAGCTCTGCTGCTCTGGATGATGGGGAAAGTCACCAGTTGCTTCCTTCAGATTCAGAGGACGAAAGCCCGAGCGATCAGAAACAGAATGCTGCACAGGTACCTGATGGAAGTGCTGACAAGGACGTGGAGGCAGAGGTTGGGTCTCCAGGAGACGAAGACGATGAAGAGATGGCAGTCGGGGCAGAAGACGAGATGACTGACAAGAACTTTATGAAGGTCACGTATGGTGTGCAGAAAAAGGTGCGCCGCGTATTATTACTGTACTATGATGAAAATCATTCGATCACGTCCATGTCATGTGATTTGACTTTTTGTGTTCGGAACAGCAAGAGAATCTTGCCCACACACAACACAACACACTTTTGGCTGTTGGCAGGTCAAAAAGTTGGGTTGGCCATATGGTCCTGCCGACTTACCGGCACTGTTTAAATGGCCTTCAGACAACGCATCCGTCTTGATGGATGTTGAAGAGTACCGTAAGTCATTCCACGAGCTCAGCAAGTACAAGATTCATATCAATGACTCCTACTCTGGAATGGGAACTGGTGGCTATGCGTTGCATTTGCAACATAAACACATGGTCAGTGACAAACTCAGTTCTTGTATCCAAACGTTTCGAAACGCAGTGATGTTTGATTTGACACACATCAGCCAGAGCGATGTTCAAAGTGCAACGCACTATGTCCAACAAACCTAGGAGCCCTCGAGAACCGGATGACTGTTGACCATTGTCCACCAGGGGTGTCTACAGTGACTAGCTGCGATGTGGATGCCACGTGCAGAAACATTCTCGGCTCCATGCACGAGGAGCCCGGTAAAAGGTTGTGAGTCGTGAGGTGAGGTGAGGTGGCTTACGATTTCGCAAGATGCTTGAAACACCAAACTCCAAACATACTTCAAATTTCAAACGCTGCTATTTTTTGGAAGGAGTACAGGCCACAGCATGTAGGCGGCGCTTTGGAAGACCGAATCAAGCCGCAAGTGCTAGCAGACTTGAAGAGATTGCGAGAGATCAAACAGAACAAAGTTTCAGCAGAGATCGAGGCTGCTGAGAGTTGCTCGCCTGCTTCATGCATGGATTGAAAAACAAGTTGCAGTTAGAAGTCAAGTTCAGTTCAGGCTCATTTTTGAAAAAAGATTTGCAATTTTAATCTTGGAATCGTTTTTCTACTAAGGAGAGACCGGCCGGCCACTACGAGCCAACGAAGTTCGTGAGATCCAGTCCAAGAATGGTGATGAGCTGTTTAGGGAATATATGAGGCGTCTCATGCGAGAGCCTTTTTCTGCAGTGCTGAAGACCAAAGCAGCATGCTATACTTGCTCCAAACGCAAGAACCCTCAGGACTGCGGGCCTGCCTGAGTGAAACTGATGACAAGTATCTTAAGTAGATGTTCATACCGATAAGTAGATGTTCAACTGATTGTGGCGCATGCTTCTGCCATTATTCTCAAAGCTAGCATCATATGCCGTCGACAGTCGACAGCCTTCAGCCTTTGTCCATATTTCACATTGCTCATTGCTCTTCAATGCATATTGCATTCAATGGCAACAGATTGGTGTGTCCGTAGTCTTGGCACTCTTGAAGTGGGATGGACTTCAGACTTATTCGACAAAGTCCAACATGAATTCTCTATGATGACATCAGCAATGATGTCTTCCGGCGCATGGTGTCATGGAACTATGGGAACTTTAGAACTCAGCATTGGCGGTGCAACAGCGAACATGGTCATGACATCTGTGCCAGTCCCTTTCACGGAGAAGAGTCACCCTGGGCCAAATTCGGACCCAAGCCGGTATGCCATCGGGTTCATGCACTCCGTTGGTCTTGTCTTCAGTGATGCAGTTTCACAGTTGCACAGCAAAGGCCAATGTCTTGGACATGGGGGGCTTTGTTCTATGGCATTCAATTTGACTTCTAGTGGCAGGTCCGTGGTTCACTTTGCGATGAGCATTCCGCCACCCTTTCCGCGCTTGTATGATTCTGTGCAACTGGATGTGGCCCAGAATCAACCCAATGTTCATGCGGCCCCCGGAGCAAATGCGAAGGAAGAAGATCAAGAACCAGACCCAGACCAGAAACAGAATGACAAGGTCAAGGAGGAACAGAATGAGGACATTACAAAAGAAGGGACCGAAGGGAAGGGTGGTGGTGGAAGGACCGCCGATGTTGGTGATGACGGGAAGAGTAGTGACCAAATGGATTCCGGGTCTGAGATGAGTGACGGGTCTCGCCTTCTTCATATGATCGGCACAGCAGATGCAACGGGAGAATTTGATATTCCTCTGTCTCCCCTACTATCTCCTACGTCTCCTTACAAGTAAGGTTTGTATTGAAAAATGTGATGCTGAGGAGGGGCCTGATGGCTCTTGACGCTAAGTTGCGCCCGCCGCGCCAAAGAAAAAGTTGCGCAAAACAGAACAGTCGTGGCATTCGATGTTCACCATTCACCACTCTGTGTCAAATTTTCTGCTGCTGGACTGTTGGGAGGAGTGTCCCACCCCTTTTGGCATTGCTGTGGCTGCGCATGCAAAAGCAGAACGTTCGGGATCCTTGCCTTCATGCAGCACATCTGGCGACACCGACAAAACATTGAGCTTCAGCGTTGCCGGATCTACGTGTACCGATGTTTCAACCTACGGCCCCTTGGTTAAAATGATGTGTCAGTCACAGTCACGCTGATGTTCGATTGTTCAATGGTCGATTGTTCAATGGTCAATGTTTGCTTGTGTGAGGAAATGGTTTTGGCTTTATGGGTCCCTCTGGCATTCCATTTGCCATTTGGATCTATGAGCGTCTTGCGGTGGGAGAAGCACTTTTGCTGCAGTTGCGATGCATGCAGTTCACTGACTGTTCTGAGTTCATTGTTCATCCAACAGAGTACAACCCACCCCGGTTGCAGTTGCTGTGAGGATTGTATACTCCATGAATGTGGGCCGAAGTTTCCGATGTGGGTGTTCTTTGAGTATTTGTCTGAGATGTACGACATCCATGAGCTTAAGGACGAGGACCAGACTTGCCAATTTACTGTGTGATTCATTTTGTTTGGCGCTTAACAAAGAATAAGTACATACTTACTAATCCTAATTCTAATTCTAATCCAGAAAATATTACACTCATTTACGTTTAGTCACAGCCTGTCTGCAAAGCGTCAATCGAACTATGCCAATTATGCCAGGAAGGAAAGCCATTGTTCTTATCACAGCATTTTTTCGGATGGCCAGCACATCGGCCGAGACGCTACAGTTTGCTGACTCGCAAGACACGATGCCGACTGCGAGAGAGTTGGAACACGATTTCATGTTTGTTTCGCATGCCTGCGCTGAGCGTCGCATGTTTCTACTGCGCACCGCAGGACTGGACGTCGTTTGTTTTGCATGTGTATTCTCGTCGTGAAGTATGAAATGTGAGTTTTCAACTGTCGACCGACTGTTGATTCTGTCAATTTCCAGGTTTTTTTAGTTGTCATCATCAGTCAGCACTTATTTTTCCAATGTCCATTCCACACACACACATACACCAAGCAATGACCCTAGGAGGAAGTGGAAAGAATGCGCAAGGAAGCAGCACATAAGGCTTTTAAGCCCATGGATAGCCCCTTCAAGGAATTGCTTCCAGGCCAGACGTTTTCAATTTTGAATGGCATGCGCTGCGCCGTCAACAAAAAAAGCGTTTTTGTGTAAGTTGTCCAGGAACCAAAAAAGCATGGCTTCAACAATACCAGTCTGTCAAGCGTGTGAAGAAGACAATCAATAAGTCCAAAAAGAGTTGCTTGTCAGCAAAACATGTGGACAGAACGCTGGCTGATGTCATGTGTTTGTGTGTGTGTGTTCAATGAAAACGTCTGAGGCGGCTCATCATGCGTGATGATTTGCAACTTAGATCAGAATCCAATCAGCCGCCCAGTGGTATCTTCATGGTTGCCAGCCTTGCTACGGCAAGGAACAATGTGGAGGTTGAATATTGGTGGGGGCGGTGAGGAGGAAAGATTTCTTACACCTGAAGAGTCTCGCTGCATTTCTGTTCGCTCATGGCCACTAATGCCTCATTGGCTCACGGATTCATTTTGTCGGAAGTTTGGCAATTTGCTTTTAGTGCTTAGTTTGAATGTTTGAGTTTGGTTCTGATTTTACCGAGGAACACATGCACGCCATGGGCCTTCCTCAATGGAAGGATTATGCGCATGGCAACCCCTTTCCGGTCCACACAGCAGAGCTCCCAAAAACCGTGAAAAAGAGAGTTGCAGGCAATGTTTCTCGGCCGCTCCTTAAGTTTGGAGACTTGCTTGACATTGCTTGACTGATCGTATTTCAATGCCTTGATTGTCAAAGCATATGCTACTACATCACACAACACGTCCAACGCGTGAAAGCGTATATAGAAGCCGAGGGAATGCATGCGTCGGTGATCGGATCGGCCTATGCAATGATACTTGCATTGCTCGAGATGAAATGATTTCGTCACCACCATGACTCGAATCGAAGATGGATGGGATTGCTTTTTGGAACTGATGCCAAGCAACAGCTTCCCATCTTCCAGTCCATCGGCATTTTGCCGCTTCAACAGACCTATCGACTCTAGACTCTAGACCCTGAGTCGCTCCTGTGGAATAAAAGAACTGCTGCTGAGTTTTAAAGGCGCGGTGAACAGCGATTGACGTATTGCCTCTGGAGCTTGACGACAATGGGTCACAATGGTTCATTGCCGAATGCTGATTCTGATTGATCAGATTTTTGTTTGTTGTTTACGTCAGAAGCATTTTGCTCCAAACTTTTTCTCTTAGTTGTCAGATCAGTCACTTTGATCTAGCGTGGCTGCGCTTGCCACATCTTCCATGGAGTCAGAGAGCCTTGCCATCGTGCCGGTAGGATCCGCTTGTGGTGGCACACCAGTCCCATCGCCAACAAGCCCAAAGTCTTCGATTTTTGCCAGGGCGGCTACTGATGCTGTTAGTGCAACATTCGAGCAAGAGATGGAGAATGCTGTGCATGCTATGGGGTTGTCAGGGATGCCGCAAAGTTCAAAGTCGCCATCATCCGGGCTTTTCCAAGTTAAGTGTGCCTTGCCAAAGTGTGACAAGATGATCATGCGACAGCCCAGCAAGTCCGGAACTCAGTCAAGCAACTAACCTAGCCAAGACCGAACCAAGACTAACTGTAGCTGACTAGACTGGACTGTAGAGACTCTAGACTCTAGAGACTCTAGAGCCCTAGAGTCCTAGAGCCAAGGGTTTTCAAACACAACTTCTGAGTTCCTTGAATCACCTAGGGCAACTCAACTGTGCAGTGACCACGCTACTTGCCGGGACGCTATGCTATCACAGGCCGCCAAGGCTAAGCAAGGGAAGAAGGGGAACTTGCGCACCTACTTGCTTGACATGGAGTCCAAAAATCCAGATGAATTTTGCAAGCATTTGTGCAATTTTGCTACTGCGTTGCTTGGCTTTTTGAAAAAAAAACTGACAGTGATACGCTACAGCGCAGTATCAGTGCCAACATACATAGTCACTTGTCTTTGTTGAACTTTGTTGAACTCATTGAGTGTGCAGTGTGCGGCTTTAAATTTTCTGCCTAGGTGTCCAAACCCAGGGCGTGGAAAGAGCCGGAATTTGTGGGACTATTCCCAGCTCATGAAGTTCACGACCAGTGGCGAACGAGATTCAGACGATCTGGTGAAAGAACCTATGTGCAAAGCAGAT